ATTGGTTCCCTCGATTAAAAACTACTATTCACTGGTGACGACAGGTCAGCTAGATCGTGAATTAGTATCAGTATACAACATTACAATCACTGCTACTGATGAGGGCTCTCCACCTCTGTCTTCTTCTAAAACTGTAAAGTTATCTGTAGCCGATATTAACGACAACCCACCAGTATTTGAGGAACAGTCCTATAATGCATATATTAATGAAAATATCAAACCTGGCTCCACTTTATGCTCCGTTTCTGCCCGAGACCCAGACTGGAGACAAAACGGTACAGTGATTTATTCTCTGTTACCTGCTGAGGTAAACGGTGCTTCTGTATCATCTTATCTATCTGTTAATGGAGACACAGGGGTGATCCATGCTGTGAGGTCATTTGATTATGAACAGTTCAGGAGTTTTAAATTCCAAGTGATGGCCAGAGACAATGGTTCTCCTCCACTCAGCAGCAACGTGACTGTTAGTGTGTTCATATCGGATGTGAATGACAACTCTCCTCAGATTCTGTACCCCAGCCTGGAGGGCAACTCCTTTATGACTGAGCTGGTCCCTAAAGCTGCACAGGGACGCTCTCTGGTCTCCAAAGTCATAGCGGTGGATGCTGACTCTGGACAGAATGCCTGGCTGTCCTATCATATAGTCAAAGCCACTGATCCTGGACTTTTCAGTATTGATCTGCACAGTGGAGAAATCAGGACACAGCGGGACATTTTAGAATCTGACAGCATGAAACAGAACCTGATTGTTGCAGTGATGGATAATGGACAGCCCTCTCTGTCTGCCACCTGTTCCATGTATTTACTTATTTCTGATAACTTGGCTGAGGTGCCAGAACTGAAAGATATTTCTTATGAGAAAAATTCTAAACTGACCTCTTACCTGATTATTGCGCTTGTTTCTGTATCCACCTTCTTTCTGACCTTCATTATCATCATCCTTGGTGTGCGGTTTTGTCGGAGGAGAAAGCCAAGATTGCTGTTTGATGGAGCAGTGGCTATCCCTGGAGCCTACCTCCCTCCTAATTACGCAGATGTTGACGGTACGGGAACTTTACGCAGCGCTTACAATTATGACACATACCTGACAACAGGATCTAGAACCAGTGACTTTAAGTTTGTATCATCCTACAATGACAACACGCTTCCTGCTGACCAGACTCTGAAGAAAACTCCGTCGGACTTTGCTGATATGTTTGGAATATGTGATGATTCTCCTGAGGTAGGAACATTTATGAAGAAGTCAACTCCTCTTATGTTGACTTTTGAGTAATACATATACCAATTTGATTGTGTATTAACTAATTACTGTTATCTAATATTATTCATCTCTTAAAAATCCTTATAGATATGTTAAGAGCATGATAAAGTCTGAAGAAGACTATGGTGTGTTTATGTCTTGTTTTCAGACATTGACTTTTATCCCAGATTAAAAGAACATGTTTCCTTAAATGTTTTTGGAGTTTAAATATTTTAATCCCTTCTACATACTCATAACAAATTCAAAAATCTGTTTTTAAAATGTCTTGACATCATAGAAAAAATACTTAGTTTTGCTTTTTTTTGCAAACTATATATTATTAATCTAAATTTATTCAAAATAATACTATCACTTTAAATATATAAGGAGCATATTTGGTTTGCTGTTGACAGTGTTTTTCATGTTGAAATCATTTCCAACGTGGACATTTAAATGACTGAGACCACTAATTACTTTTTTGACTATTTTAGGTTAAATACCAAGGGTTCCACTCAAAATTACGGCTTCTGGAAAAGTCTGTGATTAATTACTTGTGTCAGATCAAAGTCTAGCAAACAACAACAACAAGAACAGTTTAAGCTCTTTATGTTTGTCCCAACTCTGACTGTTCCCTATTTATTCACTCTGCCATGAGCTCATCTACTGTACACAATTTTTCATTAAGTATTCCCATTGAGTATGTAAATTTCACAATGGATAAAATGGGATGTTATTATTAATTTTACGATTGTGTTGTTGTTGAATAGATTTTTAAAAATACATGTACTTTTATGGTAATGCAATTCACATTGGCTACTTATAGTCTGAAACGTAGATGGATCTTCGCTTCAGTGAATTTATTTCTTTATCAACAATTTTTGTGAATATTATTACTGAAGTGCTCTTTTGTTTTATTTTTATGACCCCAGACACGCTTTCCCTCCGCATTTAGTAGGGTAGGTTATCCTACTGAAACAGAAAAATGCAATCTGCTGATTGTGTGTAGATGCATTTGTTGGTGTATAGTGAATGATTTCAGCAAACCTCTATGTTTGTGTTAAAGGTAATGAAGAATGTTCTTTTTCCAGGTGGANGATCTCTTTTAAGGAAAAAGAACCGGAGAGAAAAAGCTTCAAAGACAGAGAACCTATCTTTAACAATTGTGTATTCAACTAATTACTGTTATCTAATATTGTTCATCTTCTGATATATTAAAATCCTTATAGATATTTTAAAAGTAGGATAAAGTTTGAAGAAGACGTAGGGTATGTTGATATGTCTGGTTTTCAGAAATTGACTTTTATCCCTGAGAAAAACACCACCTGTCCTTAACTGTTTTTGGAGTTTAGATATTTTAATCCCTTGTACATGTGTTTTCCAACTAGGGTATGCAATGCCCTAGTGGTGAGTGCATTGCAAGGGGTAGATGAACATATTTTATTTCTTAGGTTGTAAAATAAACTAGAGCTGGGGTCTGTTTTGGTTTGAGAGGACCAATTGAAAAATTAACAAGCTTTTATCAACCAAAACATACGTTTTTCGTACATGCTTGAGTTTACCTTCAGATTTGACACATATCAAACCAAGCAGAAAAACAGACATGATGTAGAGAACAGCCTGGTATCAGCTATATTTTTCCTTATTTTATTCCCAATGCATTAAGTTTAAATGTTAACCTATAACTAGGAAGCTCCAGTTTTTTATATATATAGGGTTATAATAGGATTTTATTTTGTATTTACTGTGCTTCCTTAGTAACTTTCAGGTAACATAATTATGTTGTTTTTTTTTATTTGAGAAGGAGATAATAGAATGATAAAAATTAAATGCATAAATTAAAAGTTTAGGTAAAATAGTCTTTATCTTATAATCAGATATTGTACATTCCACTTTTGGACATTCATCGATACTTTTGACTGAGAGGGGTACTCATTGTAAGAAAAAAATAAGTAGCAGTTTTCTTATATAAACGTCATTGCAAGGTAGAAATAACTTAGTTTTGCTTTTTGTGCTAACTATATATCATCAATCTAAATGTATAAAAACATGCTGTCACTTGAAATATATAAGCAGCATTTGGTTAGCTGTTATCCGTGTTTTTCGTGTTGAAATGATTTCTAACATGGACATTTAAATCAATGAAGCCATTAATTTATTTTTTATTATTTTACTATATTATGTTACACACCAAGGCTTCCTCTCAAAATGGCCTTTATTTAGGCTTTTGGAAAGGTCCTGATTTATAAGTTGTAAGTCTAAAACTACAACAACAACAACAACATACACTTATTTTTGTTCCAGCTCTAAACGTTCCCTATTTACTTTATGTGTCCTTAGCTCATTTATGCAAACTTGTAAAGTATTCTAATTGAATTTGTATTTACATTTCACAATGCATTAAATCAGAGGTTATTATTAATTTTAAGGTCACGTTGTTGTTGAATAGATTTTAATTATGACTAATGTTCTTTTATGAAATATTTGCTTTTAAAGTACTATTTCTTAAACTGCTGATTTGCTTTGCTGTGGCATCTTGTGGTCTGAAACGTAGATGGATCTTATCTTTAGAAATCAGTGTAATTTTTCTTTGTCAACAATTTTTGTGAATATTAAGTCTGTAGTGGTCTTTTATTTTATTTTCTATATCCCCGCACACTCTTTCCATCCCCATGTAGTAGCGTAGTTTATCCTACTGCAAGAGCAATATGCGATCTGCTGATTGTGTGTAGATGCAGTTGTTGATGTTTGGTGAATGAGTTCAGGAAACCTCTGTGTTTTTCTTAAGAGAAGGCTACCTCAGTATTTATCAGAAGCTTTCATCTTAGTGGCACTTTTTGGAATTTGGTTTAAAATCAGTAGATCAAAAATACGAGTTTCTCAGCGAGAGAGAAAGAGAGAGAGAGATCGAACGTGATTTGACTAAAATCAAGCAGCTCAAATTGCAGTATTTAAACGTGTTTCTCTGACCAGAATGAACAATTTAGCGAAGGAGCCCTTCAGTTTTTTTAGTTTTTTTTTTTTAATAATCGGAATCCTCATACTCACAGTCTAAAAATAAATTCTGTTTTTTGGCTGACGGGGAACCAGGCCGTAATTTCTTGCACAGACTCAGGATGTCGCTCTGTACCAGCACTACATCTTTTGCTGTTAGTATTCTCACAGCAGTATAAAGCAGAATGAAGGAAGGGGTGCCGCAGCTTTCGGAATAAAGAATAAACGCGGCTTTGGATACTGAAGCCCTTTTCTTTTTCCAATATTTTTCCTCTATATAAAACGGACCAGGAGACGAGGATGGCTATCACATGCTTTGCAGGCCCAGGAATTATTTTTTGTATGGTGTTTTTTTATTTACGATCAGCAGAGGCGGATTTGAGTTATTCGTTTCCAGAGGAGATGCGTCGAGGATCACAGGTTGGGAATATCGCCAAAGACTTAGGTCTCGAGGTCGGCAAGCTTTCAGCTCGAAAGGCTCGTATTGATACTGAAGGAAGCCAGAAAAAATATCTTGACATAAACATTCATAACGGAGATTTGATCATCATCGACAGGCTCGACAGAGAAGGCCTTTGTGGAGACAAAGCATCCTGCGTTTTGAATCAGGAGATCATGCTGGAGAATCCATTAGAATTACATCGAGTGAAATTGCATATTCAGGATATTAACGACAATGATCCGCAGTTCAATAGAGAACTGATACAGATTGATATATGGGAATCTGCAGCGAAAGGTGCTCGTTTTCCTATTGAGGAAGCACATGATGCAGACATAGGTCAAAATTCAGTGCAGACTTATAACCTGCAGAACAATGATAATTTTATTCTTGGTGTTGGAACAAATTCTGTGGAGCTTGTCCTGAGCAGAGAACTTGACCGTGAAAAATTAAAAGAGATAGATCTTGTTTTGACTGCTGTGGATGGTGGATCACCACAAAGGACAGGTAGTGTTACGATTCACATCAATGTGTTGGATGCAAATGACAACGTTCCAGTGTTCAACCAGCCAATTTACAGGACCAGCATTCCTGAAAACTCTCCCATAGGTTCTGTTGTTCTAAAGGTCAGTGCAAATGATGCAGACGAAGGACTACATGGTGAAGTAACATATGATTTTGGACACATTTCCAAAGAAGTTAAGGAAATATTTGAAATAGACAGTAAAACGGGTGAAATAAAATTGATAAATGCTATTGACTTTGAATCCGTACCAATTTTTGAACTTCGGGTGACAGCAAAAGATGGATTAGGGCTGACCTCTTATTCCAAGGTCATAATCGATATCTCTGATGTAAATGACAATGCGCCTATTATATATATAAAATCACTCTCCACACCCATTCCTGAGAACGTGCCTCCTGGTACAGAGGTGGGCATAATTAACGTTCAGGACAGAGACTCTGGGAATAACAGACAGATCCGTTGCTCCATCCAAGAAAATTCCCTCTTTAAATTGGACCCTTCTATTAAAAACTATTATTCTCTGGTGACTACAGGACAACTTGACCGTGAACTAGTATCTGATTACAACATTACTATTATTGCAGCTGATGAGGGCTCTCCACCTCTATCCTCCTTTAAAACTGTTCAGTTATCTGTAGCTGATATCAATGACAACCCACCGGTGTTTGAGGAGCAGTCCTATAGCACGTCTGTGAGTGAAAATAACAAACCTGGCTCTTTCTTATGCACAGTTGCTGCTAAAGATCCAGACTGGAGACAAAACGGTACAGTGATTTATTCTCTGTTACCTGCTGAGGTGAATGGTGCCTCAGTTTCTTCTTATCTATCTGTTAATGGAGATACGGGTGTGGTCCATGCTGTGAGATCATTTGACTATGAACAGATCAGAAGTTTCAAAGTCCAGGTTTTGGCCAGGGACAATGGTTCTCCTCCGCTCAGCAGCAATGTTACTGTTAGTGTTTCCATATCGGATGTGAATGACAACTCTCCTCAAATACTTTATCCTGCCCCAGATGACAACTCTTTCATGACTGAGCTGGTCCCAAAAGCTGCACAACGAGGATCTCTGGTCTCCAAAGTCATAGCAGTGGACGCAGACTCTGGACAAAATGCCTGGCTGTCCTATCATATAGTCAAAGCTACTGATCCTGGGCTTTTCAGTATTGATCTGCACAGTGGAGAGATCAGAACACAGCGGGACATTTTAGAATCTGACAGCATGAAACAGAACCTGATTGTTGCAGTGAAAGATAACGGACAGCCCTCTCTGTCTGCCACCTGTTCCATGTATCTACTTATTTCTGATAACTTGGCTGAGGTTCCAGAACTGAAAGATATTTTTTATGATGAGAAGAACTCGAAACTGACCTCTTATCTTATCATTGCGCTGGTTTCTGTGTCCACATTATTTCTGACCTCCATCATTATCATCCTGGGAGTGAGGTTTTGTCGGAGGAGAAAGCCCAGACTGTTGTTTGATGGAGCAGTTGCAATCCCAGGATCTTACATGCCTCCTAATTACGCAGATGTAGATGGGATAGGAACTTTACGCAGCGCCTACAATTATGACACCTACCTGACAACAGGATCTAGAACAAGTGACTTTAAGTTTGTATCATCTTATAATGACAACACTATGCCTGTTGACCAGACTCTGAAGAAAAGTCCAATGGAATTAGTGGATGTCTTTGGAGATAGTGATCCTTCTTCCGAGGTAGGAACAGTTTATTTTATATATTTAAAAGTATTATTATGCTCTATGAGTTCTGCTTCTTTAATTGTTTATTAATTGTAGCAAATCATGACCAAAATTTTACACATCCCCTTTGTATTCCATAACAAACACTTCTAGGTTTAAAATTTAGATTGGTTCATTGGTTAATGTCTGTCTGTGATAATACAATAGAAAAATTAACTGCAACCAATCCCAATAACATAGCTATTTTTTTTTAATATAAAATCAAAAAAGAGACATGAAACTTTTAATTATATGCTTCTATTAGAAAAAACAATATTTGGGGTTTATTTTCTCTGTTGCTGCTGGAAGTAATCGCAGTACAGTATGTGGTGTTGAGCTTTTTAATCAGGAGTGAATGCTCTTCATATTTTTTTTTTTGTTTTGCAGTTTTAAATCTGAATGTTAAGTGTATTCTAAGGTAGTGTTACAGAGTTCTTTCCATTTGTTTTCTTTTTATATAATACACCTTCAATAACATAACAGAAGGTGCTTAATTTAAATCCCTGTAAAAATGTCTCAAGTTTTTTTTCAAATTAAACAGTTACAATTCTAAATTTAGTATTTGAATTATTATTTTCTAAATATTAAGTAAAATTTTTTGTCATATATTTCCCATTGTGTCTAATATCCATTAAGTTTTTTCTTTAACATTTTTTTGTATTTTTTCAGGATTGGGTTTTTCAGTTTGTAATGCTATTTTGTCTCTCCTTGATGTACTCGGACTGATTTGTCTTTCTAGACAAGCTGAGCCACTTGTGTGGGTTGTAGAGTCCGATTAATTCTACTACTAGTGTGAAAGCAGCACTAACATTCAAAAGTTTCCCAAACAGCAGCCATAAAGAATAGGTACTGAGAAGTGCTCCCAGGTCCCCACCTGCAAAAACATTCCTTTATTGAGTGTGTCTTGCTAATTGCCAATAATTTCCACCTGTTTTCCATTCCATTTGCACAACAGCAAGTTAAACTGATTGTTAGTCGGTGTTTCTTCCTAAGTGGAGAGTTTGATTTCACAGAAGTTTGATTGAAGTAATATTGTGTTGTTTACATATTCTTGTCAGTTTTTTGAGAAGTGTATACATGTATTAAGATAAATATTTAGTATTACCACTAAATATGACAAGCACACTGCTCTAACCACTAGGCCAACACTCCCTAGTTTAGTGAAAAAACTACATTTTTAGCTTGCTAAATAAATATTTAGAAAATTACTAAATATCAAATTTAATATATATTTTAAAAGTTAGACATTTTCGTGGTTCATGGTTTTTTTATATATACTTTTTAGGTTTTGATTTTATTGACTTAAGTTGTTAATGATTGCTTTCGTTTTAAGGCAATATATCTACATAACTGATTAAATAAATGAATAAATATTAGAGCAAAGATATTCATATTTCCCATAAGATGGTTCAAAGGTCTCCACAATTCGTTTGAATTGTCAAGTAAAATAGCAGCTTTTTATAGATGTCTGTGTCCCTAGTGCCGTTGCCTCTGTCCCTAGTGCCGTTGCCTCTGTCCCTGGTGCTGATATCTCTGTCCCTGATGCTGGCATTGACCACTGCTTTAACAAACGAATTTTAAAAATACTGAGAAGTTTCTACATGCTGCAAAAAAGTGACGTAGCAGTTTAATTACAATTTCATTCTCAGATTATATAATTTTATCGTCTGTTATGCAACTTTTTATATTAAATACACTCAGCATAGAGATAAACTGTAAATTCAAGTAACCTTTAATTCATGGTTAGCAATATACCTGTAATCTTAGGTTAAGGTAAACCTGAGGCTGAGGCAAAATGCAGTAAGCAAAGTGAATGTAGGTCAGTGTAGAATCTTATTATAAATAGAAAAAAATATCTTATGAAAGTGAGTTCAACTGGCTCACAAAAGACAGTTCAAGTTCCAACTGGCAATTTTATTGTCAGTGAATGCAAAAATCTTAGTAAGGTGAACAATTTTGAGTTGTCGTTTTTACAGTGTATTTCTTTATCAACAATTTTTGTGAATATTATTTCTGAAGTGCTCTTTTGTTTTATTTATATAA